TTATATATATATATATAATATTATTATTATATATATATATATATATATATAAGTGTGTATAAATGTGCGAGTGTGTTCTGGTTTTGCTTTACATTTATTCTCAATACATATATATATATATATGTGTATTACAATGACTGCCATCTGTATAAGATTATTATTAGCACAGATGCATAGTAATTGATGTTCAAAAACAAATTATAACTATATATTATAATATTAAAACGCATAAAATAGTTCTAGTGGATTATTTATCCTTAACTTAAATATTTACTTAAATACTTAAAGAAGATCTTTAATTAATTACTTAAAGAAGAAACATTTGTATATTATTTTTATTAATTTATCTTCTTAAATATTTAAAAACAAAATTACAAATTCATTACATGTACAATCCTAGAAGGTACAACATATTCTCTACATAATGGACATTGTGGTTTAGTATGCAACCAATCAGTAAGACAAAACCAACAAAACAAATGACCACAGGGTGTGGTAGTTGTTGGCACTTTTTCAAGACACAACTGGCACACCAACTTATTATGTTTCTCATCAAGTATTGAATATTTCTCAAAATGATTTTCACTTTTGTAATTATGCCAGATTTTCAACATACATTGTATAAGTGTAGCAATTCCTAATAATCTCAATCCCGAACTGATAGTATCAGTAGGCCGATGACCATACACCTTCAAATTTGAAAAAAAATAATGGCAAACATCAAATGTTATTGTAACAATACTTCATAGTAATTACCTTTGCATAATCTACTCCTGCTATCCTTTTACTTAAACTATAATATCGACCAAATATATAAAATAATCCCTTATGCAATAATATAAAAATAGGTATTATAGTATACATTTTTGATATAAAAGAATTTAAAAATATTACACTTGTAGGAGTTAATTTACTGCGAGGATGATTAATTGATAATTCCAATTGTTTTAATAATCTTATCAATGCTTTTTCACCAAAACATTCTAAAATTACTGCCAATATTCTTGCCTAAATAATAAGTAGATAATGCATATTAAAAAAATATATTGTATTTATTAATATTTCAGCTACATACATATATAGATGGAACTTTGTAAGCTCTTAAATTGGCTTGCACAAGTCCAGTATATTCTTCACCCAATGTTTGATTGCCCATTCCCGATGTAAAAAAGAAATAGACTAATTTAAACGGAATGTCAGAATGAATAAAGGGTAATAAACCCGTTTTCCTTTCCAAAATTTGTAAAATATCGATAACCTTTTCTCGTAAATATTTGACAAAGTCATCATCTCTTTGATGTGACCGTAGAATTTCGGCTTGACTTGCAATATTCAATTTCCGATATTTTTTTTTCATTTCCATAATTGGTAAATAATTTTTTTAATTTTATCAAAAATATATAATAATATTGTTTTAATAAATTAAACACAAGGATCGTGATTATCAATATTAAAGATAGTATGTAATTAATGAATATTAATAACGAAAATTATTATTCAAAACAAGCTAATCTAACCTCAAATATTTAGAAAAATTTCCTCACTTTCTATGCTAATCACTTTTAATATTATTACAATAAAAATACATATTTATTATCTACTAAGTATTATAGAAATAATAAAAAACTATTAGATGTTTCATAAGAATTAAAAAATATCATCAAATTATGACATCCATTACTGTAAAAAACGTCATTTATGACGCGCACGATCATTGTGAAACAAATGATTGTTAAGGTAAAATTATTTTAAATAACAATTTTAGTCTGCGATATTGTTTGTATTTTAACTTTCATACTATTAAACGACTTAAGATTTTAGAACAATATATACAAATATATATATATAAATTTACGTTTGAAATATATTAAAATATTAATATATAATAATACTAAATATGAAATGTTTAATATACATAGAGCAAATATAAAACACAAATTTTTATTCTTAAAGAAAAATTTTCTTAATAAATAGAATTTCTTTTTAAATATTTAAAATAATATATAAAATTTTAACAATGAAAACTTACCAATATCGTAACATTTCGTTATCCTATGTTAATTAAAAAGTTGAAACGAAATATACTTAATCTTTTAATTATTAATAATTTAAATTAATAATTATTATTTTTTTTTTACAATATTAGAAATACTTGTATAAATAATAATGAAATAAAAAACAAAAGACAAACAAATAAAAAAAAACAAAAAATAAAATAAGTTTAACGTAAAAAATTTAAATATAATCACGGATATTTTCTAAGATAAGAAACGCAACTAATAGATAATATCATAAACGCTCGAAATCACTATAATTTTTTTAATTTAAAATTCATTTCGATTATTACCGATCAATGGAGTTTTCTGACGCGTAGATAAAGCAGACGTATGACGCATTTCTTGCATTGAGCACGCCATCTATACAGTTATAGTTATATAGTCACGGGCAGAGGCCAAAGCGGCGAGCAGCAGAGAGGCATCGCCCTAGATAACGGTAGAATCGTGGGCTGGTGTCGTGCTGTTTTTTCGCGAAAGTGCTTGAAAACCAAAAGAAACGTAACGAAATCATTCGCGAGAAGAAGAATCGTCATCCGAATTAAGATTGTTTTCTCATGGTGTGTGAACAGCCGTCTTGAGCCAGTGATTATCGGTTTTTCGAGGCGACCGAACAAGAGGACCGTGCCCCGAGGAGCTTTGGTGCACCCGCGCCGCGCGAGACATTCGACCAGTGCGGAATTTCTGAGCCAGTGATACGTTCGTTTCGTTTTTAACTTTATTTCGTGGCTCCATATTACTCGGCACCAGTCCACGGATTCTCTTCAATTGCTTTCGATGTGTTCGTTACGCCAACGGGACGACGAACCGAGCAGAACAGGAGTAGGAAACGAGTAATCGCCGGAGAATCTCTGTAGATTGGGATATAGTGGGCTGTGAACAAGGACGGAGAACGGGAAAGAGAGGGAGACAGTGTACGAAGGAGTGCGCGAGGAAGAAAGAGAGAGACGAATAGAGTGCGACAGAAGGCCATTAGATTCAAGGGGTACACGGATGTATATACGTCGATTGTTCACTGAACAAATTTAACGAATATTTTGAAGACGCAAGGTAAGGGAAAACCAATGTCTCTATAGGGATATATAGTTCTAAAAAAAGAACAGCGTCCAACCCCCCGTGAGGTCGTCGTGGCGTGGCACGCCAGGCAAACGCCGCCGGAAATCATGCACGGTGGCCGCCCGCGCATTTTCTCAGGCGGTGCCCGATCCTTCGTTGATTTTTAAGATTAAAAACATTTATTTATTTCATTCATTTTTTAATTAATTGTTTCTATATCGTTCGATTATTACTTATGTGTTCTTATAATGATCTTTTTTGTCCACGCCAATTTCTCGTGTCAAAGAGTGTCACAATGGCTAAAAAGGAATCAGGTTTTCTTGCAGGTTAGGTTCGTCTATCTCTTTTATTGAGTCGTAACATTTCGATTTATCGAATTCACGATAAACGTAGTAATTGAGACTCGCGCGAAAAGCAAAAGTTTAGTTATAATATATCGGCAAGGACAAACCGGCTATAGATACTCTTTGTCGAATACTTTCGCCTGTTCGTTTTTCTTGACTGTTCGATGATTCACGTGAGTCACTGGTGGCGCAGGAAGTGACTCGAGAAGAAAGAAACCCGGCAACGTGCAACGGTGTTGCTTTGTGTCTCGAATATTTGTTTCTCGTGTTCAGAAGCTATGTTAGAATATATATTTGCAATTTGATTCGCTCGATGCGTTCGAGATTCTCGAATAGGATCTATCGATTTGAGTATAATGTAATTCCATATTAATCGCGCATGAATTTTCTTCGTGTAAAAACAATGTGTTACGTAGTAAAAAATTATGGCGCACGATCAATTTTGTGCTTCGAAGAGTACAATTTTCGTCATAATTGGTTAATTCATTGTCGATGTTGTTAATCCATCGAATTTCACATAGTAGATTAGCTACCATTTAAGATTTATTGATACATGGACAATTGAGCTATAAGAGCAACTAATTATTGGCGCTGTTGAATCAATGCGATGAAGAATGCAGCGTACTGTCATGTGACCTGTAAATTCTGTTTCTATGGCAGTCATGAGCAATCATTTTCGTGGAAACTGTATTTCATGTTTTGCTTAAATCATCTATGAAAAATAATTATTTTAATTAATAAATTAATAAATATGTGTATTTATTTGTATTTATTATTTGTTATTTGTAGTTTATCAAATATCATTCATCAATAGCATTTTATTTTTGAAAGTTTGTGATTTACTATTTATGTAATAAATTAAAATAATGTAAAATAATGAAACTTGTAGAAAATAACACTGAAAACAAAAATGGTGAAGGTGGCATGGAAGTTATCAGAGACAAAGTAGATAACAAGTTCGAAAGCCACCGCGAAGCTAATTTAATGAGTTATTTTTAGTCGCCTTTTTGACATTCCATACGTCGATTTATTTTATATCCGTATTTAGTTGATAGAATAAATCGTATAAATTAAAATAATTTATTTTTGAATAATATTAATAATAATCCTCCATATTAAAAAGAAAGGAAGGAAATACGTTCTACTTAAAAACCTTTTTAAATATTTACATTTAATATTTTTTTTTTTTTACAATTTTCACAATTTTTTAAATGCAATTGAAGAATTTTTTTTTTATTCTTGTAATAGTTAATGTTCGTTATTTAATTTTTAACACAAAATTTTTAATATTGAAAAAAAATTATAAAAAATAAAATTTATCACATGCAATTATACAGATGATCGAATATTTTATATTTTGAATAATAAATTTTTATTTTCAATAAAAAAAAGAAGATATTAAGTATGCTATAAAAAACAGAATTTTGTCGTCAATTTTTTTTTCACACACACACACACACAAATGAATTATTCGTTAAAAACCACGTATACAGATTCGACAAATATTTTGTATTATTTTCATTTGAGGAGATAATACGAGATATATTTGTATTATATGTTTCATCACGTTCGGTTTGATTTAAATTATAGTATGAATAAAGATGATTCCCTGAACAATATTGCCGTTGCCGCTGTGTATGCGCGCACGTGTGTATGTATGTGTTTTTCTCTGATAAAAAAGCAAATTCCAATCGGCGAACGAACTAACTTATAAAGTCCTGGAAATTTCGCACATATTTTCGGGCGTGACGCAATATCCGTGATAACGAGAAGGAGCCGGACATATGGGGAGAAACAAATTCGTCGGATTAGAAAAAAAATACGTTTGAATGGCACATTTTTGTTCTTTCGAGATAAATACATGAGAAAATATCACGTGTCGCGAGAAAGTGTCGAATACCTATACTAATGATGAAATTCGATATGGAAATTGACAGATTGGCAAATTGTCCTAATAAGATAAAGGAAGAAGAGAGATTTTTTTTTATTAGAAAAATTATTAGACTTATTTCTTTATACTTTTAATTTAAATTAAATTATAACATATACGATAAGCAATTTGAAAAATAGTTTACAAATTATTTTGATAAAAATTGATAAAATTGACTATTACTCAAAATGAATTTTTTCTAATAAAAATTCACCACCATTATGTATATTTTAACCAAGTCAGCAGATAGATGTGCAAGCACTTTTAATAAATGTGTAAGCACAATAAAAATTTTTGAAATTTTATGATGATATTGTATGATCGTCATAAAGTAGAATAAAACTAACGAAGATGATTTCATTGCATATCATTTGAATGCATGCTGATTGAGATAAATATCGACCTTAGTCTCTATAAATAGGAAGAGTACATTATAGAATATACTATATAATTTTTTTAAATGATTTTTATATCGTGTTTTTCTCAACTTAAAATTCGAAATCTTGGAAATTTTCATAAATTTTATTTTAAAATTTTATAAATTAAATTCTTATAAATTATTTCTCCTAACTTTAAATATCTTTTTATCTTTCAAATTTTGTTGTTCCTCTTTTTTTTGAATTTTTTATATTACGAGAAATTATATATTTAATTTTATATAAATAAATTGAACAACGTTCGTTCTTATTCGAATTATATAAAAACATATATTGTCGCGAAAATTAGATATCCGTAAATATCTATTACACAGATATTTGCATGTATCTTGAAATAAAACATAGCTTCACCGGTGTTCGTAGAGTAAGGTTTCGTGCAAAATTATTATTACGTTCACTTGGCGAGACGAGAGTGACTCATGAACTAATGCAATCATTCGTAACGTCTCGGTACGCGAGAAATGACGTAACGAAAAACGTATCGCGTCATATCCGCGTTGTGTTGTACGACACTTTTCCACATTTTATCGGATAAACTGCTTTGCTCACGCTGCTTCGATCTCCATCTATCTCTCTGTATCGAAATCTTTGAAACACTTTCGCCGTTTATAAGATAAATCGGACAAATTGTTTCGTTTGTTAAAATATTGCTTCTATATTTTACCGATAAATTAAACAATGACACGTATGATATATTCGATTGTAGATTAATTTATTATCGAATCATATAAATTTTTCCTTTTTGAAGAGAAAATAGTGTTTTAAAATTTTGTCCAAATTTGAATGGGATAAAGATAATTGTTTGAGTGGCGTAACGAATTTTTGTTAATCCCAACTTCGCATTTGTAATTTACTTTCAGAACACGCGTGTTCGCTTTTTCTTTAGAAAATTCTATCGAAT